TGCCTGCTTCTTATATTCCAGCCACACAGAAATACCACATACCCAGAAACCCACCAAATCTTTCTACTGCCATGCTGTAGTCCATGCCACGCCTGTGCCTGTGCCATGCCTCTCCCTTCCATCTCTGGCTCTTTCATGTTCTTTGACCAAGGATCCCCTCTTTGTGTAGCCTTCCAAACCTCCCACGCAAAGCTAAATATATAGCTCCCTATTTACACTCCTACCGCATTTCATACATAACTGCATAGTAATGGCACTTCTCAAATTCCACGGTAATTATATAGCTGTGGCATTTTCTTCACTCTCTCCAGCTAGTTGGTTTGGGTCAGAACACTTCCTTCTCTTGTTTGTGTCCCCAAGTGCCTAATTAATCTTGGATCTCAAAAGATGTTTATTGGATTAATCAGTTAATATGAACATGAAGATTATTCTCACTAGTAGTGGATGCTGCTACACCTATTTGGAAGCAAGGTGCTGAGCTTGTAACAGGGTGGCTTATCCTCTCTGTGTGTCATCTTTAATCTCATACATTTGTATGAGATTATTAATAAAGTATTATCCACAGATTTTATCTTGTTAGTTCCTAAGAAATGAGACTATAGGCTCCATCTCAGCGGGTAAATGCCAAAAAACAAACAAAAAAGATAATGCATCTAATCTTATTGTCTTGTTTGTTTGTTTGTTTGTTTGTTAAGGAAAGAAGAGATAAAGCAAATAGCTAAAATAGCAAAGATTCTTTGGACAAATGATAAAGGCTCTGTGCAGTCCGAGCAGACATGGTGACCAGGGGGCTTAGGGTTAGACAGATAAGGGAAAAGAAAGTCCACCATGACCAGGACCCTGGGAGAGGATGGAAGAGCAGCAGCAGGAAGGCTCAATGCCAGAAACAACAGGCAGTCAGGGGCAGCCTGGGCAGGTGGCTGGAGGGAGGGCAGGGCATTCTGCCTGATTTCCTAGACACAGGGAACCTGGGCTCTTCAGCCACATGCTTGGAGTTCATATCCCTGTAGGACAAGATCTTTAGCTTACCCAACATTTTCACTCACAGCACCCTACCACAGAAGAAATGCCTACTTGAGCTTAATATTTGTGAAACTGAACTGGGATTGGGCTCCAGACTTTGGGGGAAGAAAGGGAATCCTGAAGCCACTTTCAGAGTCTGCGCCTAGGGAACTGGGAGTAAGGAGGTGTCTGGGTCACCCTCGGGGTCTCTTGAGGGAAAGAAGCAAAAAACTGGGCTTTTCAGTGAGGATTGTGAAACTGGATCTCACAGAACACTGGGGTAGAGCCTCAGGATGTTTGTAAGCCCGGAAGAAGTGACTTACTATAAGAGATGTTATGTGAGATGGGAGATGGGAGCTTCTAGAGCTGAAACCACTTCCTTTACTTCCTGATTATGAAAAATCCCCCAGTGTCCCTGCTACTTCTGACAACCGGTTATAAACCTAAGCTACACACAAGCCCCACTTAGGGTTCAATTAATTTGCTAGAGTGGCTCACAGAACTCAGAGAAACATTACACTTGCTAGATTATCAGCTTATTATTAAAAGAAATAATTGACATGCAACCCTACATAAGTTTAGGGTGTACCTCATAATATTTTGTGAAGTGATTACCACAACAAGTAAAGTTAGCATCCATCATCTCATATAGGAAATACCCAAATAAAGAAGAAAAGAAAAAGAAAAAAAAATGTTTCCCTTATGAGAACTCTTAAGATCTACTCTTAACAACAACTTTCATATTCAGTCACTCACTAGATAACCTTTCCATCAACAATGGGCCTCACTGTCCATTGTCAATGTCTAACATGATCACAAGATTATGAATACACAGCCTAGGTGTGCAGTGGGTTATATCCACAAGATCTGTATAAGTACACTCAGTGATGGAATCTCTTAGTGACACATTTCTCAGAATGTATCCCTGTCATTAACTACACATGACTAGACAGCATAGAGTAGTGGTAACTATCATGATCAAGTTGTACGTTACATTCCTAGACTTGTTCATCTTATGACTAGAAGTTTGTGCCTCCTGACTACCTTCACCCAATTTCCCCTTTCTCCCACTCCACCTCTTGAAACCATATGTCTCATCTCTTTTTCTACAAATTTGATAGGGTTTTTCTTAAATGCCACATGTAAGTGAGCTAACATTGTATTTGTCTTTCTTCATCTGACTTATTTCACTTACAGACAATGGAATATTATTCTGCCAGAAAATTTCTAATCAGATCACCTGCCCCTTTTTAATTGAATTAGCATAATACCCTCAGAGTCTTCCATGTTATTGCAAAAGGCAAGAATACATTCTTTTTATAACTGAATAATATTCCATTGTATATATATTTATATTTTCTTTCTGCATCCATCCATCTTGTTTCATTTCCTGCTTATTGTGAATAATGTTTCAGTGACTGTGGGGGTGCACGTACCCTTTCAAGTAAGTATTTTCATTTCCTTCACATAAATACCCAGAAGTAGAATTGCTGGATCATATTGTAGTTCTATTTTTAATTTTTTGAGGAACATTCATAGTACTTTCCAAAATGGTTGCACCAATTTACATTCCTACGAACAGTGTACAAGGGTTCCTCTTTCTCCACATTCTTGCAACACATGTTTACTGTTTTTTGAGATGACATCTCACTGTGATTTTGACTTGTATTTCCTGGATGATTAGTGATATTGAGCACTTTTCCATACCTGTTGGTCATCAGTACGTCTTCCTTGGAAAATTTTCTATTCAGACAAACTGCTCATTTTTAATTGCATTGCTTGATTTTTTTTGTTAATGAGTTGTATAAGTTCTTTATATATTTGTATATTAACCCCTTATCAGATCCGTGGTTGCAAATACTTATTCCATAGGTGTCTTTCATTTTGTTGATTTTTTTCATTTGCTGTGAAGAAATCGTCTAGCTTAATGTAGTCCCACTTGTTTATTTTTTATTTCCTTGGTTGTGTTTTATTGGTTATTTTATTTCCTTGGTTGTGGCATAGCTAATAAATCATCACCAAGAACCATATCAAGGAACTTTTTCCTTATGTTTTCTTTTTTTTTTTTAAAGATTTACTTCTGCAAGAACCAGGGTATAGGCCAGATGCACAGGAGGGTGAGAGGATTCACCAGAGACAGAGCGGGGAACAGAGTAGGCAGACTGACAAAATACACTGCTGATGGGAGCAGCCAGCAAGACAGGAGAGGCCTGCCGCACCATGTGGGACCCTCGCTGGCTGGCCAGGATCGAACTGGCGCGACAGAGGCTGTGGACAGCTTCACAGCACAGCACTCAACCACCTGCGCCACCAGCGGAGGCCCTTCCTTATGTTTTCTTCTAGCAACTTTATGGTTTCCAATCTTACATTTAAGTCTTTAATCTATTTCAACTTAATTTTTGTGAGTGGTGTAAGATGAAAGTCTAGTTTCATTCTTTTATATGAGAATATCTAATTTTCCCATCACCATTTATTAAAGAGACTGACTTTTCTCCATTGAGTATTCTTGCTCTGTTGTCAAATATTAGTTGACCATTTTGTATGGGCTTATTTCTAAACTCTCAATTCCATTCCATTGGTCTATGTGTCTGCTTTTATTGCCAGTACCATACTGTTTTGATGACTATAGCTTTATAATATAACTTGAAGTCAGGAAATGTGATACCTTTCACTTTGCTCTTCTCTCTCAGTATTACTTTGGCTATTTGGGGTCTTTTGTACTTCCAAATAAATTTTAGGATTTTTTTTACCTTTCAAAAAAATCACTATTAGAATCTTGATAGAAACTGCATTAAACATATAGTTGACTTTTTAAATGCAGGTAAGAATTCTGTCTGCCTAGATCTGAATGATGGACGTTGCAAGCCCTTTCCCCCTTCTAGATCACAATCAGTTTCCCAGTGGTCAAGCCCCAAAGTTTCCACTGCAATTCCCATAGGATTACAGGTATGGATGTCTCAAGAAGTGACCCACGACACTAGGGATCTGGATGCTCCCTCAAACTCTTTTTTTCCTTTTTTTTTAAGATTTTTTAATTTTCTCTTATTTATACAAGAACCGGGGTACAGGCCAGATGGGCGGGAGGGTGAGAGGATTCACCAGAGACAGAGCAGGAAACAGAACAGGCAGACTGACAAAATACACTGCTGAGGGGAGCAGCAGGCGAGGGACAGGAGAGGTCTGCTCGCCATGTGGGTTGCTCTGAGGCCGGCGGGGACCCAACCCACACTGCAGAGGCTACGGACAGCTTCACAGCCCTGCGCTCAACCGCCTGCGCCACCAGGGAGGCCCGCAGACTCTCTTTTCCTATTAAAAGAACTTTAGGCACAGGGAGACTTCTCCATGAGGTGCTGAGCCATCTAGGGGAGGCACAATATGGTCATCACATAGCTGTTCCTCTTACCATTCTCATGTGGACTATGTTGGTCTCTGTAATGCAGGTGGATGCTTCAGCCTCACTCCCATGTTCTAGGATGATTCTCTCAGTGGTATCCTGTTCCTGAATAGTTGTTCAGGAATAACTCAACCTCTGTCTCCATCCTGGTAACATCACTCTCCAATATTTTTTTATAAATCACATTATCACAGGGGCTGAAAACTTTTTTAGAAATAGATAATATTGGTGTTTGTACAACTTTGTGAATATAATTAATTCCACTAAATATATAATTAATATAATTAAATTCCACTTGCACAGCAAAAACATAAATTTTAGGGCATGTAACCACAATATGTAATTTAGGTTTTTTACCACAAGTTTTAAAATTCCCACTAAATGAAAATGTATATAGATAGCAAAAATTCCAATTCACGTTATATACTTAAGATTTTTGTACCTTGCTCAGAAAAAAAAAAGTCAATAAACTAATAATTTTTAAAAGTTGGTGCTGCTGGTGTGGAAGATGATCTTTGTTAGACCTCTGAGAGGAAGAGGAAGTCTCAGAAAGAATTGCTTTCAGTTATGTGATAGATGACAAGGCAGTGGAGTGACGAGCACATCTCCGCTGCTGGGAGCATGAACTGGCTGTTCCAGTTTTTCACACTGATCTTCTGCCTTGGTCCAGGTAAATGTCAAAGTGACTCATGTAGTCACCGAGTGATTCTCTGATTTTTGTGCAGCTTGCCTTAACCTAAAACATTTTATATAGGTATCTATCTGTCTCTCTGCCAAGGTGCTGTGTGGGGTTCATGGTGGTGCCTGAGAAGATGCCTCCTTTACTTAACGTTGAAGATGGTTTACCTTGGCATGGTTCCAAGTCAGCAACTTCAAGTGTGTCCTCAGTTAAGGGAATTATATGCTGGGGCCTGGGAAATGACACTATCTGGGGTTTATGCCCAGGCTGTTGTGGTATGAGGAGTACAAAGTTTAGGAAAATAAGTCTTCCTTCAAATTAGTTCCTCTCTTGCTGTATAACTGCAGGTAGGTTGTTGTTTCTTCCTGAGTTTCGTTATCCTAATTTAAAAATTTATAGTACAGTTTAGTCAAAACTGACGCTTCCAAACAAAGCACTAGATATAGATTTCTTAGCTTTTGCTGACTGAAATAAGTTCTCCACCTGCCACTTCCTCTGATGTAAATCAGATCTACTTTGTCCACTGTGCTTTGAATGCTAGAGAGAAAAATGTGAGCTTGTCCTGTCTGATGTGCATTATGTGGAAAATTTGAAAGTTCATGTCTTATTTGGAAAATTACAAGCGATCCATTGGGGCCAAAGTATAGGATTTGGGGCAGGTGAGGCAGGACATGAGATAGGGAAGCTAGTCCAGAGTCAGTCCTGGCTGAGCAGCTAAAAATAGTTAATATTCATTGAGTGGTTATTTTATCCCAGACACTGGGCCAAGTTATGTCTATGTATTATATAAACAAGTTTCATGGGTTAGATCCACAAGTTCTATGCATTTATACTATTATTATCCTGATTTCTAAGTGAGTTGTTAAATGAATTTAAATAACTTGCTCAAATTTCATTAGCCCAGGGTGGGGGTGATGGGGGTGGGGAGAAAGCAAACATTGTTTAAAAATGAACAATGATGTAAAAAATATATAAATAAAAAAATTTAAAAATAAAAAAAATAATTTCATTAGCCAGCAGATGGCAAGCTCTTGCAATAGTTTTGAGAAACAGTGACAATTGAACAAAAGTGGCAGCAGCACATGAGAAAGGAGAGAAGCAGGAATCATCATAGATGTAAAATAAACTAGATTGGCTGCCAGTGGGAATGAGAAGAAAGGAGAATTCAGCAAGTCATTCAATAAATATTCATTGGGCACCTATTAGGTGCCTGACACTGTTCTAGTTTCTAACAATACATCACGAACAAAGCAGGAAAAAAAGCTTGCCTTGTAGAGTGAGCACTTCAGGAGGGGGAATGAACCATAAGCATAAGTGAAATGTACATTGGGTAGTGATTAATGGCAAGAGGAAATAATTCAAGAAGGGAAAGGGATATGAAGTGTGTGGGGTGACAGTGAAATTTCAGACAGAATAGCCAAAAAAAAGTGGCAAAGTTGGGGAAGAAGGGAGCAGAAATGGAAATAAAGGTGATTTAATTTTAGACATAATAGTTTTAAGACATCAATGTGATATGTGTGAGGACATTCCCTGAAAGCAGCTGGAAATTTAGGACTAAAAGAATGCCCAAGGCTGGAGGCTTGGCAGTCAACAAAATAATAATTGAAGATAAAGAGAAAAGTGAAAAAGAATAGAAGCTTAGGAACACATATCGGATGCAAAAAGAGAAAGAATTCATTTATACATTCAGAGATCTTCCCCTAACTGGGGAACAGAGACCCACATCTCTGAACCCATCTCTGGAATTAAATATTCAGAATGTCCTCATGATAAAATTCCCTTGAGTCTCCCCATTTCCATAGATATGTCTCATAATAACCCTATGAAAGTACACTATTCCTGTCCCACTTCAAGGAAGAAGAAACAAAACTTAGACCCTTAATAACTTGCTCAGTGTCACAGTTGGGGAACAGTGGCACCATGGATGGTGGAGAAAAAGAAGCATACACAAATGTGTTCCCTGGGATTCTGAGGCCTGGGAGGAGACCAGTGATCACCAGTGTTAGAAATCAGGGCACTCTAGGATCTGGGCTCATAACCACTTCCCTATTTTGTTAGTTTGTACACTCTTACATATTCATATATATATGTATATGTGTATTGTGTGTGTATGTATATGTATATGTGTGTGGACAGGCATGTGTCTGACGACAGGTACATTTTAAGAAGTGTGTCAGTAGGCAATCTCATCATTATGTGACTGTCATGGATGTTATTACTCAAAGCTAGTACACATATGTACCTACATATGTGCTTTCCATCGTTGACTGGAAAGCCTAGTAACATAAGACTGCATATCACGAAAGGTGATGTTGCAGAAATAAATTCTAGCCTTTTACCCAGACAGGGGAAGAACAAGCGGTACTTTAGGAATGGTGAGGCCAGGAAAGCTTTATTACTCATGCATGAGGTCTCAGACCTCGGTAGTCCCATAAAGTCTGAGCACTGTTTTAGAGACAAGAGTTTCCTTCATACATAACTACTTCACACTGATAAAGTTGGTTAGTTAGCATACAAATTCTTGACACAGAGAAAGGGGAAGGATACAGATCTGCCAGGATGGCCTGGGAGATCAATCAGCCTAGCAGGCTGCCAGACCTTGTTTAGATATGCTTATTAAAGAAGCAAATTATTATTTACTTTTCATTTCCAGGTCTATGAATCTTTAACAGGGAAAGATATCTTTTTCTTAGTGGTTCCCTTTCAGTGATGCTAAAAAGAAATAGGCAGGTGCCACTGGAGAAAGAAATAAGGAGATCTGCTTTGAATTGTGTAGGAGGAAAAGATTTCCTCAAAAAGTAGCATCTTGCTCAATGTTAAAGGATGTGAGGAGTCAAGGAGGGAGGACTCTGATGAAGAAGCATTTGAGGCTGGGAGACCTCATGCAGCGAGCAGTCTGTGTGGAAAGGAAGGAAAACCACTGTGGCAAGAGAGGCAAACAAATAAAACCTATACCAAAAATAGCATGAAAGAACGTGATGCATTGTACATTCATTCAAGTGAGTCACACACCACCTTGCTTCTTTCAGAAAATTTAGCTGAAAAGATAAACCATGTAGAAAAATAATTCCAACAGGTGTCACTGAAATGATGCCCTGGGAGAAAATGAAACTTGTGTTTTCCCATTTTAACAATTTGTCAAATTTGTTAATGGGAAAATTAGTAGGAAATTATATTAAAATGCAAACTCTGGAATAGAGACTAAAATTCTGCATTTCCAACAAGCTCCTGGATGACTAAGCCTACTCACAGACCTGACTTTTAGAAACAAGATTCTGCCAAATAAGGAACCAAGAAAAAAAAAATAATAAATAAAAAGCAATATTAACAGGCAACTATAAATCAGAGACATTCTGCCAGGGAGGGGGAGGGAGAGGGATCAAAACAAGGATTTTATAAACATGCATCCTGGGCATGCATGTGGCATTCTAATTTTCCTGGCATATGGAGACACTTTTCAATGCCTTAATTCTCCAAAGAAACTTATTTATATATATATATATATATATATATATATATATATATATAAGCAAACTATATATATATATATATATAAAGCAAGGTTCTAGATGTCATCAGGCTTTGGTCACAGTGAGGTTAGAGAGAAAGAGAAATAGGCACTGATTCTTTGAGTATGTTTGCAAGAAGCAGATAGAGGTATTTTGTTGCACAGGTGAGAATAGAGAATGGAAATGTTGGCAGAACCAAAATGCGTAGTCTTGCCAAACAATGCTGAGGTTTTAGCTCTTTATCTAAGTCAACAAGGATCTGTGAAACAAAGGAGCCAGGGGCAAGGTGGTGGGGGTGGGGTGGGTGAGCCAGACCTTGTCCCCTTACTTCTCTTTTTCTAGCTCTGTGACACAATGTGTTCATTTGAGACAGACTTCCTAGAGGTGGACGCCTCTTTAAAGTGGCTCAGTAATCAAGGCTTAAATCAGACATTTGCTTTACAAAAAGAACCATTTATCCAAGCTTAATTACATACCGTTGTTCAAAGTGGTCTCAGTATCCTTTTTTATTTCTTTGAGATCTGTAGTAATGTCCCTACTTTAATTTCTAATTTTAGTAATTTGAGTCTTCTATTTTCTTAATTAATCTAGCTAAATGTGTGTCAATTTCGTTGATCTTTTCAAAGAACCAACTTTTGGTTGACTTTCCATATTGTTTGGTTATTTCTGCTTTAATCTTTAATATTTCCTTCCTTCTGGGTCTTGGATTATTCTGCTCTTCTTTGCTAGTTTCTTACAGTATTTAGTTAGATTATGATGAGGTTTTTCTTTTTTTTTAATGCAAGTGTTATAGAGCAACCCCGATATTAAACGGGTTCCTGGCTGTGGGTCCTCACCCGCGCGCTTTAAAGGGACTTATGAATACTCTACTACAGACACACACAAAAGGGTTAATAAAAGGTTTATTTACAAGAGAAAAAGAAATAAGGAAAATGTACAACTCAGGGAGAAAATAGGGAAATAAAGTCTTTAATGCGTCCTACCCAATCCCACGACCTGGAAACCCAAAGTCACTCTCAGAGCTGGCCGGACACTGCCAGCTGGTGGAGAGCCAAAATGGGGGCCCCCCAAAGCCCACGTGTCTGCCTTTTGTATCCACCTGGCTGCTTAACCCCACCCTCAGGTCCCAGCCACCTTCCCTTTTGTGGTGATGGGATTTGGAGTTCCCAGTGTCTTTGGCTTTGACCTGGGGTGGGGGTGGAGTCCACAAAGCCTATATGGAATTTGCTTTGGGACATCCTTTTCCCCCTAACACAAGCATTTATAGCTATAAATTTCCCTCTCAGCATTGCTTTTGTTCCATCCTACAAATTTTGGTGTGTTATGTTGTCCTTCTCACTTGTCTTAAAGTCTTTTCCAATTTTCCTTGCAATTTCTTCATTGATTTGGTAATTGTTCAGCAGTGTGCTCTCTACTTTCCATTTCCTTGTGAATTTTTCAATTTTTTTGTTGTTCTTTATTTTTAGTATCATTCCACTGTGG